TCTTGTGAGAGTTGAGTCTGAGGAGGAGGGGCTGGGAGAAACAATTCTCTCCAATGTTTTGCCACCAAACTTGAAGAAACACCCTCATATGTTAATCGTTTCCATTAATCACAATGCTTTGTCTTTTTAGTTCATTAGGAGGATATGGCTGTTGACTCATTTGGCTTTGATCTGAAAAGAGAATCCTCCCTTTGAAACAGATCTCATTATAAATGTGTAAGACGGTAATTAACCAGCTCCTATGAGGCTAATTGTAGTAAGCCCGCAACAACTTGAGCAAATATTGATTTAGTCATTGTGAGTTAAGAACTGCCATTGAATAAAACAGGAACTGAATCAATGATCATGGGATACGACTGTTTAAGAGACAATCAGTGAAAGCCTTTCCGGAAAGAAACACACTAATGCAGAATTTTCTGTATCAGGCAGGAAAAGGGAAGGTGAAAATCGCAGCATCGCACAATTAGAGAGAATAAAGCAACTATATTAACCACCCACACACAATGCTTTAGTTCAGTTTGGATAAATAAAGACCAAATAATGAATGGAAATTCTATTTGGCTGATTAGTTGGTTCAGATTTCTTCCTATTGTCTCCCACACTGGGGTTCCACAAGCATAGCGGTTTAATAAGCTACAGTCTACAGACACTGATGAGTCTCTGGCACCAGTCGCTGACAGGATCTGCGGTGCCACGGGTTATTAGGATGTAGCCCAGAGGAAGGACACAGCCTCAATCAATGAATCGAAAGGACCCCTGATACCTTGCAGTACAAGAAGCAAATTAAATAGTGACCCAAGCTAACCAACAATGCCTCAAAGTCAACAAACAGCCTCCAGGTAATCTTACTAAAGTGATCCCCATAATACTGTACCAAGGTCTTAGTTATTTAAGCCATATACCTTAACAGCTTACCTTTGCACTGGTTATCTATGCATTCTAATTTAAGGATATATAACATTCAGGCCAAGAGTCTACGTTAAAGTGTATTCACAACCCATTTTACTTTCATACTGGGAGAAATTTTTGAGAAAAAACGTAATGAGAAAAATATGTTTGACCAACCCTTGTGAAAAAGAAGTACCATTTAGTATACATTTATAAAGATCATTATTACGGAAATAATATACTTTCAAAGAGTATACTTAAGTGCGAACTTGAGTTCACCCGCATGTTAATTGCAATTAAATTAAAATGTAATATAGATTACATTTATATGAACTTTAGAGTGCTTTTTTGACCCACTTAAGTAGGACTTAAGTACATCTTTAAATGCAATTATAATTTTTTTGTATTATTCTATCGTCTTTGAAATATGATTTAAGTGTACTGCCGAATTTACTGACAAGCACTTATAGAAAAATAAAATATATTTTAACGTAGTTTCTATTAAAACTTGTATGGCATGTATTTAAATAATAATTACACATTTGTATTGATGAAGTTGCAATTTAGTTCATTTAAAATATATTAACTTTAAATGTAATTGAATTACACTACAGTTCTAGTTTAAGTACATGTGGCTTAGTGAGTCAACATAAAAATAAGTGTACTTAAAAACAATGATTTTTACACTTTAAAGTAACTTTCAATTTGACATTATTACAAAGTGCACTTTTTGTGTTAATAAACAGTCATGAAAGTGTACACTTTAAGTACACTTAAGTGTCCTTTTTATGTATATATATATATATATATATATATACAGTATATACAATAAAAGTAGTGTATGCTAAAAGTGCACATTCAGTATAAATAAGTGCACTACTTTTTCACATTGGACCCTATGAGACCCCGTTATTGGAGTCCCACTTGTCACAGTTGCAATTACAAGAAATAAAGTTGAAGTTACGAGAATAAACTCATGTGCATATTGCAAGAGACAACAAGACACCACAATATTATTAAACATCACAGCTGCAGCAATAAGACGTACAAAAGTCTCTGTTAGTGCTGACAAGACGGCAGGAAAAGATTTTCTCATTACTTCATTCATTTCATACCATGCCAACAGTCAGTGGCACACATTCAAGCACTATACTGTATGTTTCTATGTCAATTTTACATCTGTATTGACATAGCTTTTTTGTTTGCTGTTAGGATTCTCTGAATTCAAGGCCTCTGGTGGATGCCCTTAGGCACTGGTCCAACCGGCCTGATCCATACTCCATCCTTGGACAGGACTTGTTTTTATCTGTTAGAAACTGACAGGGTCATGAAAAGTGGGCGTTCCAAACCTGAATGCGAGTCGACTGAGGAGTACTTTCTTCCTGAAAGACTGCTGGCACCCACTTTTGAAGAGGTGTTTTGAACAGAAAGAGGAGGCTTAAGGTCAAGTTCACCCTCCAAAGCATCTTGGTGTACTATAATGGAAATGCTTCATTTCATTGTTCATTTTTTGCTGTTCTATTATGCTTATTTAAAGGGGGAGTTAGGGGTTAAGTAAGATTTAAAAAGAAAATAAATTCATATTTTTTCAGCAAGGACGCATTCAATTGATCAAAAGAGTAAAGCTGCAGTGAAAAGACAATAATAATGTTACAAAAGATTTGTATTTAAAATAAATGCTGTTAATTGAACTTTTTTTCATCGAATCTTGAAAAAACTAAAATTGACATGGTTTCCACAAAATTATTAAGCACCAAAAACAGTTTTTAGCATTGATATGAATGAGAACCATTATCAATAAATGAGCTCCAATAATAATTATTAATAATTGAGCAAATTAGAATTATTTCTAAAGGATCATATGTGACCCTGGACCACAAAACGGATCAATTTTTTTAAATTGAGATTTATATATCATCTGAAAGCTGAATAAATAAGCTTTCCATTGATGTATGGTTTGATAGGATATGAGATACAACTATTTGAAAATATTGAATCTGAGGGTACAAAAAAAAAATCTAAATATTGAGAAAATTGCCTTTAAAGTTGTCCAAATGAAGTTCTTGGCAATGCCTATTACTAATTAAAAATGACATTTTAATATATTTAAGGTAGGAAATTTACAAAATATCTTCATGGAACATGATCTTTACTTAATATCCTAATGATTTTTGGCATAAAAGAAAAACATATCATTTTGACCCATGCAATGTATTTTGGGCTATTGCTACAAATATACCCAAGCGACTGAAGACTGCTTTTGTGCTCCAGGGTCACATATGACACTGAAGACTGGAGCAATGATGCTGAAAATTCAGCTTTGCATCACAAGAATAAATTACATTTTAAAATATATTCAAATAGAAAACAATTATTTGAAATTGTAATAATATTGCTCAATATTACGGTATTTTTTGGTCAAATAAATGTAGCCTTGTTGAGCTCAAGAAACCTCAAAAACATTCAAAATCCACTTCTGACCAGTACACACTAAAGAAAAGGTCTAATAAAAAAGCATAGTATGTGCCCTTTTTATATTAAAGGTATAATTCACCCAAAAATGAAACCGTGGTCCTTGGTGATTCAAAAAATACAAGTCAGTGGATATCATTTTGACCCATGCAATGTATTTTGGGCTATTGCTACAAATATACCCAAGCGACTGAAGACTGCTTTTGTGCTCCAGGGTCACATATGACACTGAAGACTGGAGCAATGATGCTGAAAATTCAGCTTTGCATCACAAGAATAAATTACATTTTAAAATATATTCAAATAGAAAACAATTATTTGAAATTGTAATAATATTGCTCAATATTACGGTATTTTTTGGTCAAATAAATGTAGCCTTGTTGAGCTCAAGAAACCTCAAAAACATTCAAAATCCACTTCTGACCAGTACACACTTAAGAAAAGGTCTAATAAAAAAGCATAGTATGTGCCCTTTTTATATTAAAGGTATAATTCACCCAAAAATGAAACCGTGGTCCTTGGTGATTCAAAAAATACAAGTCAGTGGATGCCCATGTTTCAGAAGCTGAACGTTATTTACAACATTATTACCTGTAATCCAGAGCCTCAAACAAACAGTCTGGAGTGATGTCTGGTTCGTGAACTTGAGCAGCACAGATATACAAGTTACTCAATCAAAAGTCACTTCAGATGTGGCTGACAGTCACTCTTGACTTGAAATTAACCAAAATAACAGTGGATTTTGCCAACTAATTTAGGACTCCAGTTCTTCCAACAGTCACTTTATATGCTTTAGACCTTTAGACATGTAAACCATCCATGTTTACCATCCCATCCCATCATTATTGGGTGCTTTAATAATATAATTGCGTATATGTCATTACGTCATTGCATGATTAATGGACATAAACAAACTAGTGAACTGAACCAGTTAATAGAATCAAACAGTTAATTGAATCAAACGATCCAGTTCATGGAAAACAATCTTATTTCCCCGTTGCTTGCTATGGATTACAGGGAATAATGTAAGTAATGTTCAGTTTCTTGCACAGACCAGTTGTTTCTCTTCATAAGACTTCAGCATATCGTCAGAAGCCACGGCTATTAATTTTGCGTTCCTTGATATGCTTTTTTTATTCTCAAAAATGGGCAGCTGCTGACTTGCATTTTATGAATCACCAAGGACCATGGTTTCAGTTAAAAAATCTTTTTACTGTTCTCCTCAAGAAATGTCACCTACATCTTGGATGGCCTGAAGGTGAGTAAATTAACAACAATTTTTCGGTGAACTATCACTTTAATCCGATTAATACAGTACATTTCGGCATGCTTTTTTAAGAAGGCTGCATTTGCATTACATACAACAGTCGCCTAAAACAATGGCTAAATAGCTATTTAGAGATTGGTTAAAATTACTAATGGCCTGTGCTGCCTATGTGACATCACCCAAAAAGCATAGTCAGAAGTGGAGCAAAAACATTTAAAGAAAGATTACAAAGGCTTTAAAGTCTGTCACTATACATTTGTGCATTACAGCATAATCAATAACTTTCAGAGTCGTTCTACACGCACTAAATTCCAGCTAATAAAAATTCCAAGCCTACGTGTCCACCTCCATCAGCAGAGACACCAGCACTAACCTGTCATAATCCTGGCAGATCTCCCCCACGGCTATCAAGGCTTTCAGATACTCATTCGGCTGATATGGGTTGATGTAGTGCAGGGAACAGCTATTGCGAGGGTCCCCATTGGACGCCGTAAAGTCAATGGCAACCTAGAGAGATAATAGCATGACACACTCTTGATAAAATGGCAAAATGCAGGACAAAAATGTAATGGGTTACATAATCTGATCGATCGTCAAGTAAATTTAATCCCTTTAGTTTTACGCCTGGAACAAAAGTTGTCTCCATTGTAGACAATTGAAAGGAAATGTCAGTCTACAAAAAAGCCAAGCACTTAAGAGCTGTCTTTCCTGGGAAGTTACACAAAACCTGTCTAGAACAGTTCTGCAATCAAATAGCCATCTGTATAAATAATTAAAGTGCTTAAAACGGATAGTATGTACATTTTATTTGTTTAGAGCTGAGCCGGTTGTATAGTCATGCATCAAGCAGATGTTGTAATCCAAAATAACAAAAACAGCTACCATATGCTCTATAATACAGAAAAACAGCTCATATCCCAGAAAACATGTGATATATAATATACTGCATTACAGTTAACTTGTCACGGTTTCAGTTCAATTTGGACTTTGTTTTCTGTTTGCACCATTTCCACTGTTGAGTTGGTTGTTATGTTTTCTGATTAGTTGTCATTCAGTTCAGGTGTATGTTGTTAATTATCCTTGTTTGCTCGTGTATTTAAGTTGCTCTGTTTCGGTTCAGTGTTGTTGGGTCTCTTCTGTGTTGGAAGTGTTGTTGCTGTTCTCTATATGTGGATTATTTACCTGTGGATTTATTAAAGATTACCTTCTGCCTTCATCTTTGTGCTCTAGAACACCTCTCCATGACATAACTAAAGATCCTATGTGAATACTGCACCAAAACATTGATTCTAACCATTCACTCTAAGGCTTTCACTGCTTGACATCTGATTATCTTTAATTTAACAGGCAACGGGGGAATTCAGATATTTAAATAATGAATATTCAATTGAATTCATTAATAATCTTGGCCCATTTTTCTGTTCTTAAGGGGAGCATAAGGGCAGGGGACTTAAAACAGTTTGGAGGAGATATTAATTTGTTCTTTTGCCTCCAGCCGTGAAATAATCGCATACTGACTCAACATAAAACTCAAGAGCAGCTGGTCAGAAAATGTAACAAAAAATAACAATTGTGAATGGGGACAAAATAGCATATTCTATCTTGTTTTAAGAATCTTAGCTATTTTTACTAGCAAACAAGAAAAAAAAATACTTAAGAACATGACATTTTGCAGACTGCCTCACAAAATCATGTATAATCTAGTACTATAAATGAGCTGCATTTGCTTTGAGGTGGCAGTTATCAGTCCAGCACGTCTGGCATCATTATCTGCATGCTTGCTGGAGAACATGGGCAGTAAATCTGTGAAGGGTCTGGATCGCACCGCGGTGCTAAATGTGGAGCGCACTGCTGTTCCCACTTACTGTGAAGTGTATTTGGCAGCCTCCCATGATGTAGTCCAGGAAGGAATAGACTCTGTGAAGCTGCAAAATGAAGAATGGCGGGTGAGTCTTAGAAACCCTGCCACATTTATCTGCCTGCCTCACCAGAAAACACTATCTGCAAGGCTACCTGCAAACTTTCAGCCTCTCACATAAACAGCACATATCAAACACACACACGTACTGTACACGAGATACGAAACTAGGCATTCTATTTCATTCTGTTTAATACTAGTTTATGGTGGTTTGGTGCTGGTGAACCTGGTAGGCCCAGAAAGTCTTGCAAGTTAAACTAGATACCTGGAGAGGACTTTGTATGAAAACTTTTGCTGCCAAAGAAATCAAATTAATGTGTGTGATTAATTAAAATATCAGTATTTTTTTTTTATATATATATATCTGTCATTTTTAATTTTAATGTTGTTTTTTAATGCCTTTAAAGCAAAGGTAAAATCATTTGCACTCTTTGTACTCTTTTCATTGAGCTCAGCGAGTGATATATGTGACCCTGGACCACAAAACTTAAGTGTCAATTTTTCAAAATTCCGATTTATACAAGCTGAATAAATAAGCTTTCCATTGATGTATGGTTTGTTATGATAGGACAATATTTGGCTGAGATACAACTATTTGAAAATCTGAAATCTGAGGGTGCAAAAAAAAAAAATCTAAATATTGAGAATTTAAAGTTGTCCAAATGAAGTCTTTAGCAATGCATATTACTAATCAAAAATTAAGTTTATATATATTTACGGTAGGAAATTTACAAATTATCTTCATGGAACATGATCTTTACTTGATTTTAGGCATAAAAGAAAAATCTATAATTTTGACCCATACAATGTATTTTTGGCTATTGCTACAAATATCCCCGTGCAACTTAAGACTGGGTTTGTGGTCCAGTGTCACACATATATATATTTATATACTGAAGGCCAACAGCAATAACAAATCTGTTGATGAGTAAAGAGTGCCGTTCTATAAATTTAGCTCTAGTGTCATCTAGAGAAACTGCCAAACCTAATAGTTGCACATGGGCCTGTTGTTTGGTTTTCCCAAATCATAATGCTTTAACTGTTAATGCACTCATTTAATCAATGTATTAATCAATTAATAGTTCTACTGAAAAACAAAAACAAGTTTCAATCTGAATTGATACATGTGGGGGAAAAAACAGCAACAACACCCTTAAGCAGCTCAATAAATTAAAAAAACTTCCCTGTTTGAAAGTGCACAAACAAGACAAATGCATTAGCCTCTTCCCACCCCACTAATGTCTTTAAGCTTGATTGTCACACCCACCCACAACAATAATAACTCTGCTGTCTTTTCATTCACAGCTGGTTAGCCAGTCAAGTACTAGCATCCCTAAAAGAAGGATGGCATATCTACAAAGCTCTATACACATAAACATAGACTGTCAGACTCTTACCTTGAGATCGCTGAGAATAACCAACCCAGAGTTCTTGTAGTTCTTCTTCTTCAGTTTGTATTTTGGATTGATGCAGTCCCATGTGACCTTCAGGAACACGGGAAGAGATCAAAGAGGTGAGCTGAAAACTGAAGGTGGCACTGCAGCGAAGTCACTTTTTCCACACATTCAGAAGTGTTGTGACATTTCTTTAATCCATTCTAGTTCTCAGCAGGAAACCACTATGACCGAAATCAAACACCAATGTACGGCAGAATGTCTCACACTGACCTTGTTTCCTGAGGAAATCTTCTGCATTTCTTTGAAATTAGTGTAGAATTCGCCAATGAAGTCATGCTTTCCCCTCGAGTCATAGTCCCAGACTAAGCACTGCAGTTCACAGACAATTACAACAACTCTTATGGCTCCATATGTCATTTTGGTTTTATTCTTATCACTATTTCTCTTAAAGGAATATTCCAAAATGTCTGATTTTGTCATACCAAATCACAAAAATAGTTATTTAGCAGAATGTCCAAGATGCTCTCATATAACAGATGTAGACAGTGACGAATCAAACTCCAAAAGATAATGGAAAAAGCACTATGAAATCACCATAAAAGCAGTCCAGATTACTAATGTGAGGAACAAATTTCACAGTTGTCAGTTGTAATTGCACATGTTCAAACTTGGGAAGAATTTCAGCAAACAGCCTAACCTTCCATCCGTTCTCAAACCAACAACTACTGAATCTCTTTATACTACTTGAAAAATAGTGCATGAGTTGCAAGGACCGCTTTATTTTTGTTCTTTTTGAGACTTGACAGCCACTGATTACTATGTACTTGTATTGTAAGAAAAAGAACATCTTAGGCATTCTGCAGAACATCTCCTTTTTTTGTTCCAAAGAAAAAATTAAGTCATAAAGGTTTGGAACGATATGAATAATAGAATGCCAATTCTGGAGCGAACTGTTCCATTAATATTCACCTTCAACTTCCTTTCGTCGTCACAGCTGCACAGGGAAATGAGAGACACCTTAAAGGGTTCCCACACAGGGTTCAGATTGTTTTTAATCACCTGTAGATACAAATCAATATCATTGTATAAACTAAAGAAGAATTATGAACAGCAAAAGAAAGATTATTATTCCATGGGGTGGAACTACTTACTTCAGTTCTGTGTACAAGCTGTTCTGTTCCATCATCATTGATCCGGTAAATCTCCAAGAATGGATCTGACTTGCTGAAGAGATCCTACAGTCACAAGAGAATGTCAATACAGTCCAGCCATTCAAAGGAGAACATTATGCAGGGGACAATATTTTAAATACCCCATGGTTTTATGAATGCACTCTTCTTTTCTATATTGATGTGCAACAAGAAGTTGATTCAGGACAAAGGACTTGTCCTTTTTTTACACACCCAAAAGCCATTTGCTACTTGATCTCAAGGAGATCTATTATACTTGAAAGCTATCCATTAGCATTCACATTCATGTCAATGACAGTTGCTCTGCTGGCGCAAAAGCACAGATGATTTAAAATGTGCCATTTTAGCTCATGGGCATTCAGTTCTGGATACAGGTTTTTTCTGAGCTGTAAATTTCATGCGAGTAATGCATACGCAAAAGAAAGGGAACAATATGATGTTTGTTATTATTAAATGTTTATATAGCCCACGTATGTCAATGACAGTTGCTCTGCTGGTGCAAAAGCACAGATGATTTAAAATGTGCCATTTTAGCTCATGGGCATTCAGTTCTGGATACAGGTTTTTTCTGAGCTGTAAATTTCATGCGAGTAATGCATACGCAAAAGAAAGGGAACAATATGATGTTTGTTATTATTAAATGTTTATATAGCTTATACAAGCTGAATAAATAAGCTTTCCATTGATGTATGGTTTGTTATGATAGGACAATATTTGGCTGAGATACAACTATTTGAAAATCTGAAATCTGAGGGTGCAAAAAAAAAAATCTAAATATTGAGAATTTAAAGTTGTCCAAATGAAGTCTTTAGCAATGCATATTACTAATCAAAAATTAAGTTTATATATATTTACGGTAGGAAATTTACAAATTATCTTCATGGAACATGATCTTTACTTGATTTTAGGCATAAAAGAAAAATCTATAATTTTGACCCATACAATGTATTTTTGGCTATTGCTACAAATATCCCCGTGCAACTTAAGACTGGGTTTGTGGTC